CTTACTTACTTTATTTACTTTACGTTTATTTACTTAGTTATTACGTTATAGTAGTTAGTTACGTAGGTAGTAGTAGTTATTAGTTATTAGTATATATATCTCTCTCTCTCTCTCTCTCTCTCTCTCTCTCTCTCTCTCTCTCTCTCTCTCACGCGGAAATAATTACATATGTTAAGGTTTCTCTCTCTCTCGCCGAAATAATTACATATGTTAAGGTTTAACGATGCAAGTTTACTGAAAGAAAAACCTATAGGTTTGGAAGTGGGATGCACAATTCGAAAAAAATTGACATTCTTTTCGTTTTCTAGTGTTAAAGTCTGTAAATCGAGCATTCGATTTGATAGGGACTAAATTGCTGGTACTGTTATAGAAATCTCATGGCTTGAGTTGCTAATACTGATAGACGGCATGTTCTTCAGTCTCTTACTAACTAATAATTTTTCGCCTTCATCCAAGTGTTTGACAAATTGCTTGATCCCAGTGTTCTACAAATTGCTTGAAGTCTTCAAACTCATGTCGAGAATTCCTGTTTTCAGTTTGTGTCAAAGTGTCAAGAAGCGTTCCCTATACTTCTTTGGAAGTGTCAGATACTTAGATTGATGTCAATTTTGGTGTCCCAACGATATCGTTCAGTGTTGCTGCATGTGTCCCAATACTTCTTTGAAAGTGTCAGATACTTAGATTGATGTCAATTTTGGTGTCCCAATGATATCATTGAGTGTTGTTGCATTTGTAACGGTGTTACATGTCGATGTTGTGTTCCTATATTATGTTTTAGTTCTAGATATAGACAACACTGTCTTGTTCTTTCTATTAACTTGGATTTCTTCAATATGGATGTGACATATAATACCCCAAGTTGGATTGCATAATATTATTGTGATTAGTGGCCAAGTTAAATCATTAGGGTCAGTTGTTTCATACTTTTAGTTGGCAAAAAATGAATGTCATTTATGCTGGATTGTTTATGACTCATCTGAAAATCTTGTATACTATCTCAAGATGCAGTTTCTTGACATTCTACATGTGTTTGACAGCATTAGAAGAAAAGCAAATATATCATGGCCAGGTAATAGTGAGGTCTATTAATTTTTTTACTAGGTATGATTACGTCAAAGGCACGCCAAGCATCTTCCACTAATGTGGTTCTGCTTTTGTTTTTGCTCAACTGGGGACCTTCATGGTTCAGCACCTAGCATTCTACTCCTAATATGTTCTGAGTATAAAACCGCATGAGCTTCCTTGAATGACCCCTAATCTCGGATATGGAAAATAATTTAAAGATAATCCAAGCCTCATATATAGATCCATTAGATCATGTTGTATCCTACTTGTGTCTTTATAGATCACGTTGTATCCTACTTGTGTCTTTTTAACAATTGTATCCCTTTCCAAATCTCAAATTTGTCTTGCATTGATTTGTCCCAATAGTTTTATTGGATTCTTTTACATGTTTGGTTCCTTATAGAAATCATAGAAACATATAAATGCCATGATTGGTTGAGAATGTGCAATCAAGACCAAGCTTATGATGATAGATTTGTTATCTACAAATTTGAGGTGATGCCAGTGTCAGATATGATTGCTTCTGATCTGAATCAGGTAATGGAGAATCAATTTATTCTAGATAAAGCACAATCAGTTTATTAGAGACAAAGCATGCTTTGTCACTTGAAGATTACAAACTTTTTTACTAATCATATATTTGATTGGAGGGATTAACTCATTGATTGAGAGAATCCTGACATCTCTCTGCACTATTTTATTAGCGGCACAATTTGTTGCATATCTTGCATATGACCTTGAATTCTACTTCCTGGTTTTAGTCATTATTAGTGTTCCAATTCCAATCCCATGTCTACCAGTTGGTTTGTGAAATTATTAAGTACCTCACCACATTATTACTAGGTCATTGTCACATATCTTGCCATGACCTTGAATTCTACTTCCAGGATTTAGTCATTCATAGGATTCCAATTCCAAATCCCTCAGCTATCTTGAAGCGGAAGTAAAATGGAGGCTCAATTGGGCTGAGAAATCATGAAGTACTTGCACTATACTATTTCTAGGCCAATTTGTTTCATATCTTGCACTTGACCTTGAATTGTATTCCAGCTTTTAGTCTTTTCTGGGGTTCCAATCCCAAATCACTGGACTCCCTTGAAATGGAAGTTACATGGAGGTTCCATTGGATGGAGAAATCCTAAATTAGCTGCTCACGACATGTTAAGGTATTCATCATGATATCATGCATTGAAGTAATTATTTATTTGCAAGCACTATTTGAAGGGGGACCTATGATGTCCGTCAATGAGACATACAACTGACTGAACTTAACATTTTTGATGAAAAGGAACATATACATACCCAAAGAAAAAAATATTATCATAATCAGGTAAAATGTCTTTTCGCAAAAACATAGTATTTTATCTATAGGGCAATGACTCAGTTATTTGAAAATGTATGCCATACGGCTTCATTCTATAACACTTATGTCATTCCATTTGATGCTATATTTTATTCATGACTCTTTGGCTGATGTGGATTAGAACTTATATGAGAAGCCCCGTCTCCCATTATTCTTGTGAATTCCTAGCATATGATAATAGAGCTTTTTTTATGCATTGCAACCTTTGATTCTTGTATATAATGATAGAAATGGACCAAAATAGGCTACTAGAATTAAATCAATTTTCATTTATCATTTTTTATTTGGTTGAATTTGACTGGTTAGACCCATTGAATGGGTGTTCATAGGTTGGTGGGTTACCAGTGATTACCTGTTATGTACTGGTGGGTTACCAGTGATTACCTGTTATGTACTGGTGGGTTACCAGTGATTACCTGTTATGTACTTTGTAGCAAGGTTCAAAAACGATTACCTTAGCCGGGGCAACTCAGCCGAGTCACGTACACCCAAAAAGGTAAAACAACTGGTATCTTTTAAGTAGTTAAAATAAGAAAAAGTAAAAGAGGTAATAGAAAGCATTAGAAGAGTAAAAAGACGAAAAAGGTCTATAAAATATGGATCATTGAAATTTTTAATTTAGATTTTGACTATTTTAGAAAAAATTTAAAAAGGGAAAAAATTATAAAAGTTCTCAAATCATCTTAAAAACTTCCAAACTCATCTAAAAATTTATTTCTAATAAATGTAGTGGTGTTTCCTAAATTCTGTACATTTTTTCTATTTTTTATATTTTTTAGTGCATTTATGAGGTTGGAGGAGTTGCCATGGAACTCGCTCCTACTCAGCCTTGTCCATAGGGTGAGTCTGAGTAACTCACCTGAGTCCGAGTAGGCTTTAGAAAGTCATGGAATGCTGCTTTTAGAGGTAGTAAAGTTGGTGCTTAAGAGCCAGATTTGTGTTGGGAGTGGTCTCTAGAGTTGGATAGGCAGTAGCAAGTTTCAAATCAGAATTAACCGAGAATTGCATGGTAATTGTAACTCTGCGTATGAGAATGCTAGTCTGGAACTTGTAAGGGTTGAATCAAATTGTTCAGGGGCTGGGAATGTTAGTTGATTCTTATTTGAAGACCTCAAAGTCATATGAGTGATGGGATCGAGCAAACTTCCTATTCTCTTCCAATCCTGAAATTCTCTTGGCACCTGTTTCTGTTTTATCTACATCAAACCCTTGTGTCTTTCTAGATTTACAACTCATGTATTAATGTAGTTAGGATTTTAAAATTGAATTTCTTTCTGCCACAGTCCTGATTCTGAATTTCTTATAGTTCTTAAAAGAAAATTTAGTAATTAATGTGGTCTTGCTTTATACTAACATGTGATCCTATTGGATACACTATCAATTTTATTATTATTGCAGAAGTCAGTCCAAGATGAGCAGTTGGATGCTGACTCCGATGAGGATGCTCTTGAAGCGCTTTTCGGTCAACTGGAGGAAGATCTAAAAAATGACAGCTTATTTATGTCAGATGATGATGAAGATGAAATCAGCGAAGCAGACCTGGCAAGGCTAGAAAAGGAATTAAATGATGACTTTATGGATGAGGATGATGATGAAGAATCAGGAGCATTACACTTGGATAAAGATAATGAAGGAAGTCATGATGATGAAGACCTGGACATCCCTTTGAAACTCAAGAATTGGCAACGTAGAAGATTAGCTCAAGCTTTGAAAGTTGGTCGTCGGAAAGTCAGTGTAAGTCCCTTATTGTACAAACCTAAGTTTGAGAATCAATTGATCATGCGACAGACTTTGGAAATCACATATTCCATTTAGTCATAGGGGTGACAATGGACCGGGTGGGCCCGGCCCTGCCTGTTTGGGTTGGCGCTAAAAAACTAGGGCCTGGGCCATAAAATGTGGCCCAAGAGCTGGGCCTGGCTCGGGTCACGACAAGGCCAGCTTGTTCGGCCCGGCCCTCTTTTTTCTTTGCTTCTCCTTTTGATTTGTTTTTCTTTTATCTAGCCCTGGCTAGGGTCGGGTCGGGGCCAAGGCCTTTTTGGCCCCGTCAGGGCCGGCCCTATGGGGACCAGACCTGGCCCGGCCCGGCCCGGCCCGTTGCCAGCCCTATAATTAGCATCACCATCCACTGAAGCATGATATTACCCCAATAACTCCCTCCATCACTGTCATTCATTGCAACGGACAGGAATGAGCCAATGGACTGTGATTTTTCTATAATCTGTTGAACTATATTATTCTCATCTTGTATTTTATACTTCCTTTATTGATCCTAAACTCCGATGCCTTCTTCCTCTCAGATAAAAAATCTTGCCGGAGAGCTAGGTCTTGATAGGGCTGTTGTCCTTAACTTGCTTCGTGAGCCTCCTCCAGATCTTCTATTGATGAGTGCTTCTTTGCCTGATGAGATCAAAGTTAAAGAGACACCATTGCAGATTGAAACTGAACCTTTAGAAAGTGTTTCGACTACTGTAAATGTTGAAGAAACTGAAGAATCGGAGCCTGAGAAAAAAGAACCAGTCCATGTCATGAGGAACAGGTGGTCCACACGAAAACGAATGAAGAAAGTGCAAGTTGAGACCCTTGAAAAGGTTTATGATGGTACAAAACGCCCCACTGTGAGTACCTTTTACACTTACCCCACAAATCTATCAAGAATTTCATGTATAGAATGTCGGAACTCTTAAAAGTATGAAGAGTTACTAGTTTCTTATCATTCGTGATTAAATGAATTTCAGCTATTCATGGTGCTACCATAGAAAATACTTTATTTGAAGACAGTATGGTGAAAATAACTTCAGTGCTTTTAACCTAGCAAGCTGACGAGACTTATTTGATATTCAATGTTAACCACTTTTGAGGCTTATTTGATATTCAATGTTAACCACTTTTGAGACTTATTTGATATTCAATGTTAACCACTTTTGATCCCAACTCTTTGGTGTTGCTTTGATAGTTTCTCCTGGTCAATATTTACTAAACGATGACATTGAATTCCATCTTTGGGTTCTCATGGGTAGTTCCATAAGTCCATATCTATTATGCGTTTTTTATGAACCCCATATTTGGGTTCTCACGTGTAGTTCCATCAGTCTATATCTATAGTGTTTTTTTGATGAGGAATGTGATGCCTGTATCATGTATGTTATCTTTCCTTACTTCTTAATTTGTATAAATTATGATTCTGAAGTTATCTTTCCTTACTTCTTAGTTTGTATAAATTATGATTCTGAGCACTTAATCTTAAATGCCATTGAGATTCCCCCATATGCAAGCCAGGATTGGCTTCTATAGCACCTAAAATACGCCGTCTTTGCAAAATCTATACTGTGACCTCCTTTATTAATAGTGTGTTCTGCTGTGCTTGTTATAACCTTGAGTCTCTCTCTCTCTCTCTCTCTCTCTCTCAATTTTAGCTTTTGTTTTCTATTTGCATTCAGAATGCCATGATTAGCAGCATTGTGCACGTGACCAATTTGCCAAGAAAGTCAGTTGTGAAATGGTTCGAGGACAAGCGAGTTGAGGAAGGAGTTCCTGATCGCCGTGTTCCATTCCGCCGATCTGAATCTCACTACTAGGCGTTGAACAAGGGAATTTCATGGATTTCTTGGGTGTTTTTTTGGATATATGCATTTTGCTTATTTGCATTGTGAGGTTATAGCATTTTGTGTAGATGATTATCTACCATTTGCGAGCATCTTATGGTTAGAGTTGTTAATAGACTTGCAAAGTTCGTCAAAATATTTTCTTTACTTTGTTTGGAATCCAAAATATCTGTTACAATGGTGGAGATGTCATGATTCTTCCTTTCCCAAGAGTTGATTTGAGAGATGGATTTAAATTGTCTTAAACTTCAACTTGGATATTATATGGCTGGATCATTTAAGATAGGGTGCGGTTTCTATAAGGTTGCAACCTTAAACGATCCAATTAAAGCACACCTCCAAATTTTATAATAACATATAATTTTGTTGTGAAAAATTCTTAGGATTATCTTAAAATCTATTTTCATATCTAATTAGAAAATTTTAAACTCCAAAAATAGTTAAAATCAATGAGATCTATAAACATATGAAAATATTGAAAATGAATGGCCTAGATAATGTGTTGCAAGATGCATTATTTTTGAGACTCAAAAACTTTTTTTTTTTTATATTCATACATCTCGATGTCGAGATGATCAAATAGAGGATTTTTTAACATTAAAACAACCTTTCCGATAGATTTTTGAGGTGCATCTGTAATTCTACATTTTGAGGTTGCAAACTTATATAAATTTTTGCCTTTAAGATATGGTATGCAAAGACTATACCTATACAATGCTTCATGAGAGCATATAGTATTTGAATAGTCGTACCCAACCCCTGTAGGATATGGTGATATCCAAAATCACCTCTATAAAAAAATCCTATATTATTGGGTATTATACTTTATTTATGAAAGTATATAGTATTTGAGTACTCATACCCATCACCTGTTGGATATGATGATATCCAAAATCATCTCCATGAAGAAATCCAATATTATTGGGCTTAATATTGATATTTACGAGTTTCATGTTTATTGGGATTCCTATTAACCAAGTTGCTATTATTTATGGATTTATTTTAGGTGAAGTCTTATTTAGATTAGGATGGCTATCAACATCATAATTCGAGCTTTATCCCAATATTCGCAGTCAGCTATTTAAATTACAAAAGACATGTGGACCTAAATTAGGATAATGCTAAGATTCTCAAAAGCTAAAAAGTGGAGGAGCCTCACGTAGGCATTTTGGATTCTCCTTTACTATGTATTAGTTGTTTTGTAGAGAGTGAACCTTGGGTTACATGGAGAGTGAGCTCTTTACAAGAGAATCTTTTAATTTTCTTTCTATTGATTAAGTGAAAGGTCATCTATTGTCTATGACTATATCTGTAATGAATCACGTAAAATGTTCTTTTTGTGTTGTTTTATTTATTTTTGTTTATTGTTAGTTGTGTTTTTTTTCACTTTTTATTTGCCAAAACTCAACCTTTTATACTTTAGATTTTCCACATCTATATTATGTACTCTCAAACAAGCAGGGGAATTGAGTAGTTCGTTTTGCTGAAAAAAGCATGGCCTCCATAAAAGTGATCAACGACTCATTACTCACTATTTCTTCATTACTCACTATTTCGATTAAACTTGAATGGTGGATGTTTGGTATATTGAAAGGAACTCAGACAAGTCATCCACCACCCCACCATGAATGGAGAATGGAAATGAGTATTTGTCTCACTTTAAAGCTCATCTTGTTTCTCTTCGAATTTTGGTTTATGACCACTAGAATTAGTTTTGTTAGCTTCTTCATGGAACTCTTTAAATCTTACTCTATTATAAGTTTTGCAATCAAGCAGGTCATGGTGTTCATTATCTAACAATGATAAAACAAAGGGTTAATCGGTGTTTTAAAACCCGGTGTTTCCGATCCGTATTGCCAATTTGGATAGGAATTGGTTGGCACTGAACTGGTTTTGAATGGTATGGGTCCCAGCCTAGTACCCTTCTAAAAAACTTCGTTATATATTTATTCATTTTCTTTAAGTTTATGTACTATTTCCTCAAGTCCACTCTAAATCCACACCTTTAAACCCTCATTTCAATTTTTATTTTATTTTATTTATTTTCAATATTTTTCTAGATCTCCGATTTGGATCGATTCAATCCCAATCTGGATCACCAATCCAATGATCTGACATTCACATGTGGGCGAATGATCTGCCTTGGTCCAGGTATTGAAACACTGGGTTAGACGACTCTTATCTGACATAATATAAATTATTATCTTCCTCTCTCATCTCCTATTTTTCAAATCTTACTACTACTCTAAAACCATTTATTCTAATTCATCTACTTGCTTATTGTTATGGACCTCACAAAAAGAAGCTATATCCGCATCTCCAAACTTGCATGGGTCATGCAAAAGTTCCCTTTGTAATTTCGAAGATCCAGTCTCTGAACACATGTCAAAACATATGCATACGACATTACATGGAGCATGTAAACATGTATCAATGACAAACACAAAGTTTTAGACCATCATTCCTCATCACAAACCAAAATTTCAAGTCTGCAACAAGATCTTAAAATTTATCAAAGAATACCTCATCCACCAATAACTGGATCTCTGTCAGGGAATGGGGTGGGTGCATGTTTGATAGGGATCGAATGCCTCAACAGAACATCCCACCCTCCATCCCACCATTAACAAATAAAAAAAACGAAAGTGGATCTTTGTCAATGGATTTGATTTTCTCCAAGGGTTTTCTGTTAGGCTACTCCCTACAAAACAATAGTTGGACTTGTATCTAGCATAATTTTGTTTCGACGGTATGAATGGTTCCTTCGACCATTCACTTAATAATGTAACCTTCTATCGTAACTGTCAGGAATGAAACCCCTCCAATTGCATTAACATTTACCTTTGCTTCCCCTCTGTGGTTCAGAGGACTTGAGCTTGGGATGCGGTGTTACATTGTCAACAACTAACAATGAAGCCCAAACCCCATTCCTAGTAAAAGGTTAGCATGCTTTTTCAGTTTCTTCATCAAACATCAAGGTTTCGAATTCTTGACCTTCCTCATCAGAATGATAACGGTGTCAAACCTTCACGCATGCTGTGCAATTTGATGTATGGAATTATAGGTACCCGATATAGCGACCAAAGAGCTCATCACTATGATGCCATATATCACTGCCATTTCCACCTTAGAAGTCCTTGAAGTCCCGATGATCTTCAAGTAACAAACACATGGCAGTATCAAAGAGACAATGCAACTCATAGATGACCCGATTAATGCCATTAAATACACGAAAAAGGGGAGCATAAGGGCCAATGTGACTGCGCTAGCCAATAATAGTATTCTGACCAAGATGTTTAGAAGTACGTTACTCTTGATGAGAGGCTGTGTTTCTTCAATAGCTACTAGAATTGGGGCCACTATCAATGCATATTTTGTCAATGGATTTATGAGAGTTGTGTAAATGGCTATGTTGGAGCTTAGTTTTCCTCTGGGGAGATTCAATGTGATTTGAGATTTGACCTCTTCTCCAAACATGGAGTAACCAAGAACCCCCATGGCACCATAATTCAAGGTGGAGACAATGAAACTGATGATTAGCACCTGCAAGATCAGTAAGACTGTTATGAAGTGTGTGTCGCTATGTTTTGGAGAGTTAGAATATTCGATAAAATTTTCTGATAACCAAAAGCAATTTTAAATATTTTTATGAAATATGACAAAACCCACTAAAATTTAGAAAATTTTAGAGAAATTCTCATGACGTTTATTTGAAAATGTAAGCTATTGTCACAAGGTTTTCAAGAATAAGACATGCTTTTATCATGTATAAGGGTTTAGCCAATATTTCTAAGTTCTTACCTTGGAAAATTTGGTCCTGTCTTTCATGGAAGAACATATTGAGGGAAGCATAGCATGACCACAATAACAAAAGGTATACAAGCTAATTGCAGTGGAAATTCCGCTTGGATTGAAAGCCCTTCCCTTCGAATGAAACCCCACACCATCAAATATGCCGACCGACATAACCGAAGCAACCATGATCAATGAAGCCAAGATCCCACCCATGGAAATATAAGCTAGCAGTCCCAAGCTCCTCAACCACATTGTAGGTAATATTACCAAGGAAGAAATGATTATGAACCCTTGGCTGCCTTCAATTCTCCAGCCAGCCACTTCAAAACTCATATTGGGAAGTATCTTTGCCAGATTATCTCCTTCTAAAATCAAGAACTCTATTGCTAGCATATATAGTTCTAGATAGAAGAACACTGATAGCGCTACTTTCCCCTTATAGCCGAAAGCCCGGTCGGCTATGTCCGGGTAGTTTTGGATGTCCATGTTACTATCCATGCATTTTTGGAGAAGAAGGCCGGTATAGCAACATATAATGGCGACTAGGACGAGCAACCACATTCCAGTCCACCCTGCTTCTGAGATTGCATATGGGATCGATAGTATTCCAACTCCTGGTTGATCAGAAAAGATTGAATTTTCAGAGGCATGTCTGGTGCTGGTTGTTATAAAAACCAAACTTACATGAAAAATGTTGTAGTCATAGATGCAAAGAATATCTTTGTTGGAAACGTTGGCCTTTGTCACACGTGCTTTTATTTGAAGCAACGTTTTTGCTTACCATTGCCCAATACGTATGTCCGTAGTTTTTGGCCACTCTTTTCTGACACACTACACTAATCTTTTATGATATTTAAGATATTTAGACACTTCTTGTTAACTTTTCTTGTTAAAATTTTAGCTTATTAGTATTAAATGGTATACAAATGTACCAAGTCTGAAAAACCAATTTTAAGCATGGTGTAAGATACACTTGTGTAAGATACACTTGTGTGTTAAACCATGTTACACATATCCACTTCCATGTCTTTGTGACAAAGACGATTGTCAAAAAAAAAAGTTACAGGGAATCAAAATTGTAGAGGAAATTAAAGGGACAAATGGGTGTGAATGCTTATTGCTTGGCCATTTTCATTCATGGATAGTACATGTAGTACTGTGTTTGCGTAATACTTGTTGCTCATCCCCGTCCATTATCAAAGATCAATCACAGAGATGAACCGTTCTTCAAGCATTGTCCTCTCAAGTGTAGGAACAGTTCTTCTCCAATGTATGCTATTGAGATTGGACCATGAAGATGAGCAAGAAGTATGCAAACAGTATCCTATGTGTAACCTATGAGAGAGAAATCCTATGAAGATCAGGAAACTGCATAAGAAATACAAAAGAGATAGATCCTAGAGAGATTAAGAAAGTGGCAAACCTGATAGAGCATTTAACATATTGAAACAAGAATTGGAGAAGGTGGTGCCTTCTTCTTGAAGAAGTAAATGATAAGACTCTTCGCCATCCATGGTGCTTGTCTCTTGATGTGGTTGCCTTAACAAAGATTGAGACTCTGGATCGCACTGCTCCATTTTTGCTTCCCACTTCCCTTGGAATAGCTTGGCTTTTATATATATATCTTCTCAAGTAAAGAGGGGGGTTAAGTTTTACACAGTTTTTGAGAGAGAGAGAGGTCTAAGCAAGGGGATTAGCTTCTATTTATTTGGGGAGAGACATCATTTAGCAATTACTTTTTGAATTTTTGGGGAGGAGAGAGAGCCTTTTAAGGCAATACAATTTACATAACCAGAACCAAAACAAGAAGCTTCGTAATTGAGCTACCTTTCTTCACCTCTCACCTCTTCATGTTCAAAAACTTTCCAAAACAAGCCCATTGTCCAAATTCCTATCCTTTTTCTTCTCTCACTTAATATTCATGGGTGAACTCTTTACTATTGTCTGTTTCAAAATCATTTTCCTTGTAATTTCCCAACTTGTTTTTTACACAAAGGAATTATTTTTTTATTTATCAAGATTTTTATTCGATAAAATGTTTATTATTATTTCCCCTATAAAACTCCTTTTACCTAAAACGAAATTCTCATAACCACCTAAGTTGTATTGCAATGGTGATGAGGATTTCAATCAATAGGGCTGTAGGGCGGGTGAAGGAAAAACCAAAGAAATAAAGAAGAATATGCAGGTAGAATTTAATGTTAACTATTCTCTTTCTCTCTACAATGTGCTTTACTCACCTTTCTCTCCATGCATGTTGCCCTCTCTACAATGCACCTTTGCTGAGAGATCTCCTCTCTCTTCATGTATGTTTGTGTCGATTTACCTTGACTTTTAAATTTTAAATCGCATTTCTCTAAATTTCAAATTATTATTTTTGGATATCTCTAACTCGAATTGATAGAAATAACTTGATTTGTGTGGATTTACCTACTTTTAAATTTTAAATCGCATTTCGTTGACTTTTAAATTTCAATTTTTTTTTGGATATCTCTAACTTGACAAGAGATAGAAATAATTAATTTTTTTTGGATATCTTTGGGTAGATCATTGGAAATAGGTTTTTCCTTTTTTTTTGGGTTAGTGGAAAGAAATATTCTTTTGGATATCTCTAATTTCCCAGAGATATGGCACAGGTATTGCCTTCACGAGATTTTTTTGGGTGTTTCCTTTATTTTCCACCAGTTATATTTGAATTTTGGGTGTTTCCTTTATTTTCCCCAAGTTATATTTGAATTTAATTTAGAAGTCCATAAAGTTTAGCGATAGGTACAAAGTTTTGGAAAGGGAAAAGTTTATATAGAGCTGGGGCTCTAAACAATCAAATTGGAGCCAACCACAAAAATTTAACTAGAAGAGGAGCCTATGAGAAAAAATTTCACTAGAAGAGGTTGTTTTGATGCCCAAATATCCTCAAATTAATCATCTCGACATCAAGATATATAGATATGAGAAAAAAAAAGGATTTCAAGTTTTGGAAATAGTGTATTTTGTAACGCATTTTTGGGCTGTTAATTTTCAAGATTTTCAAGTTTTCATAAATATGTCGATTTAAACTATTTTTATGCTTTACACTAAAATATATTTTAAGGCTATCACAAAGATTTCTGAAGCTACATTTCTCAACGCAATTTGAAGGAGGCTCCAATTTGATTGTTTAGAGCCAAGGCTCTATACAAACCTCGCCCCTTTTGGAAATGAATTTAAGTTAGTGGTAGTTCCATGTTTTTGGAAATGAATTTAAGTTAGAACAACATAAGGTTAGTGATAGTTCGATGCTTTTGGAAAAGGATAAAGGTAAGAATTCTTAGCTGCGTTTCTTGGGGAACTTATTTCTCAAGAACAAATAAGTCCCTAACATTATATCAAACCTCTTCAATGTGAGGAAGTGTTATTGGGTCCGAAACTTATTGGAAAATTTTTACTCCTCAATTTCTCATTTTTTATTTAAAAATAAGAAATTTTTTGTTCCACGGGTATGCCAGGAACTTATATTTTGGAACTTATTTTTGCCCAAGTCCCCGATATTTATTTATCGGGTGAAATGTTGGGCGGTAAAAAAACAAAATAATTATAGAATAAGTGTAATGTAGATGTTGAGATGGATGCAAGACAAGACAAGGGATATAATTCAAAATGAATATGTTTGTGGGATAGAATTCGAAATGAATATCTTTGTGAGAGTTTGGATGTGGTTCCAATAAGCAATAAATGGGGGAAAGTGGACTTAGATAGGTATGTGTGGCACAATCCTAGTACATTAGTTCAACTGGATCATGAGTTAGTTCAAGTAAAAGCACCAAAATGGCAAAGGGTAGGTCCTAAAAGACATGGTTAGAAGTATTGAGAAAAGTTATGGGGACTTATGGCCTCAGTGAGTATGATTCTTAATAGAACAGAATGACACACCCGGATTATAATTGGAAAAATGCTTTGATGGTGATGATGATTCATGATTATCATATTGTCGATCATAGATCCCTACAAATTTGGATTCAAGATCTATATAAAGAATAGACAGTAGAGGGGGCTCGCACAATAATAGTATGAGTTGGAGAACTCACAAAAATCGGGTCCTTTTTTATTGATGTGTTAAAGTTTCCTCTTTAGACTTACTGTGCATGTGGTTTTTGGTATTTCATGTGCCAACCGCCCCAGTTATTAGATCTGAAGGAGGATTTTTACCGTAATGGAACTGATATCAATGTAGAGATCCTTGGGGATCCCAAATACAGTGGAAACAAAAAACAAATGGATTGGATAGAAATCACATATATTTTTCATATCCAATCCTTCTCGTGCAGTTGATGCGTTTCTTCTTCTTTTTTTTTTTGACAAAAATAAAATAAAATAATATTAGGGCTTCTCTTTTCTCTTGTCTTCTCTTATATGTGTGTCCTCCAATTTGAAAGTTTGGTGCCTACATCCCTAAACAAACTATCGATTGTTAGAACTAATAGCATCGTGCACACAACACAGGCCTTAAGCTTTTAATGGGAGTCCCAACAGCTCTTGGATCTCCTAAAGGTTTCGTTCTAGGGCTTCTAGAGATATTAAACCGTGAGAGAGAGACAGCACGGAGCTTTTGGTTGCACAAAGAGAAACCCCTTTGGAGAGATATGTACATCTCATGTGAAAAATCTCTATTTTTTCTCTTTTTAACAACTCCATATGGAAATATCTTGAGGTAATTTTATCTAAAAAAGGAATTATCTCATCTCTTTTGATAATGTTCCTTCAAGTTAACTATATTTCACATTGAAAATTCCATATCATATAAGATTCACATATCTTCTTTCTCTACCGCTAAGAAGTCCAATAATCCTATGGACATCCCTTGTATTTAATTAACTATTAAAAGTGTAAAAATACTATGGCTGTCCCCACACCCATAAAGGGACAGACTCCAAATCCAATAGACTATTCTTAATTTTTCACTAATAACGCTATGTATTTCTTTGTCCTACATTTTTCTATATTGATTATTAAGTACTGGTAAACTATATTATATATAAGCAATACCTCGAGATTTGACATAGGTTTTATTATTAAAATAATAATAAGAATTGGAATGATACACTTAGTTGATTTTATCCAAGAGATGTTGTTTAACTTTTGATAAATTTAGGGCTGGCAACAGGCCCAGCAAGCCCCTCGAGCTTGGCCCAGGTCATTTTAGCACTAGCCCAAGTTGGGCCCAGACAGTGCCAAAGGAGCTGGTCCAGCCTACCCAATTGCAAATTCGAGCATCACCGTGAATTGAATGCCATCATGCGAGTAGACTCTACAGCTTAGACCACGACGAAGAACATAGCGAAATGTGGTAGTTTAGCCAGGAAAAGATAATAATAAAAAGTTTGCTAATGGATCCAAGTGGGTTGACTCAGTGGTTGAGGACATGTTAATGGACATTGATCAGGTGAATAAGAGCATGAACATGAATTTGATGAATGAGCATGGACTTCAAGTTGTTCTTATAGTCACATGACCAGATTTAAATTACACAATTTTTTATTTTTTATTTCCCAGGGAGAATAGGGTTCATGACACACCCAAAGAAAGAAAAATAAAAATAAGGGAGGTTATCATTAGGGTCAAATGGGCCGGTAGCCGGCGGATTAGTATGCCGACGGACTAGCACTTACAAAATGGGGACTGGGTCACAAGTCAGGCAATTAAGAAACTCTTAGACCTAAAGTTTTCCTCAAATCACAAAAAAAAAAACAACAAAAAGCCTTCAAGAACCTGAGGCTCTATAAATTTTCAGCAATTTGTCGTAAGGAATAATAGCTCCCCAAAATGGCTATTGAAGAACCAACACCTAAAATCCCACATATAAACATCAGCTCCAGTTTGTAAATCCTTGAGATCCCAAACAGCTTGAGGTAACATATGCATGGGAAAATCAAAGAAACTGTGCAGCTTAGAAAAGATCCAATTAAGGTCATTAAATCCCCAAATAATGGTATTGTGAGGGCCACCGTAACTGTGCTTGCCATGAGTAAGGTTCTCATAAAGATGTTTGTTGACCTGCTGCTCTTGGTAGAAGGGAGGGCATCTTCAATAGCTGATGCAATTGGGGTCACTACCAATGCATATTTTGTAAATGGATTTATGAGAGTGGTGTAAATTGCTATCTTGGAGCTGAGTTTGCCATTGGGGAGGTTTAGTGTGACCTGAGATTTTACTTCTTCTCCGTACATCAAGTACCCAAGAATCCCCATTGAACCATAGATCAAGGTGGAGATTGTGAAAGAAAGAATCAAGACCTGCAAAGATCAAAGAGACACAGCTATCACATGTGTTTTGAAGTTTTTACACTTATGTTTGTGTGTGCATATGGTTTAGGTGAGCCGGAAAGATTATTAACCGTTTAGGAGAGCCAGCACCCTTTGTCCGTCAAATTAAGAAAATGGGTGGCTGATGTCCTTGGACTACCCTTTTATTTCGAACGACTAGATGAGACCTAAATGTGTGTAAAGAGATGCATTGGCCCCCTTCTGTCGAGAGCCTAATTTCATTAACGGGCAAATCAGGGTTGTTCATCACTCTTTTCTATCTTGACCAGCCGGCCTACACTACGCTATAAGCATGTTTGTTCATATAGTCAGGAAAACAAAATGGTATCCTCAAAACTCCATGTTTGTCAAAGAAATAGAGTTATCTGTGCATGTTAAGACTTACCTTAGAAAATTTGGTCCTATCTTTCATGGAAGAACATATCGTGGGAAAGACAGCATGCCCACAATAGCAGAAGGCAAATAAGCTTATGGCAGAAGGGATTCCACTTGGATTGAGAGCCCTTCCCTTTGAATGGAATCCCACTCCATCTACCAAGCCAGACGACGTAACAGAAGCAATCACAACCAATGAAGCCAAGATTCCACTGGCCGAAACATAAGCGAGCAGGTCCAAGCTTCTCAGAAAAGCAGTTGGTAATATGATTAGTGCTGAAAGAATTATGAACCCTTGGGTTCTCTCGATTGTCCACCCAGCCACCTCAAAGCTCAAACTGGGAAATAATTTTGCCAGATTATCTCCCTCCAAGATCAAGAATTCTATTGCTACCAGATAGAGTTCCAGATAGAAAAACACTGAAAGTATCACTTGTCCATAATAGCCAAACGCTCGGTCTGCTATGTCTGGGTAGGTTTGGATATTCGTGTCTGTGTCCATACATCTTTGAAGAAGAATGCCAGTGTAACAACAGACAATGGCCACTAGAAAGAGTAGAGCTAGCCCTGCCCACCCAGCTTCTGATAGTGCATATGATATTGATAGTATTCCAATTCCTGGTTAAATAACAACACAAGTGAAATTTTAGAGCTTCTGTTTTTGCGATCTCTGTTGTATAGTGATATGTAATACTAGGCATCTAGGTGCTAGTAGTTAAGTTGGTGACAATGGGTATGAACATATTGATCTTATAAGTTCAAGGGTTATTTATCAAAATGTACCTAAGAGATGAATATTTAACAATTTATGTTGTTTCTATTTAATGATCTGAGTTGGAATAGTTGAAAACAAGTAAAACATTGAATAGTTGATAAATTGGGTATATTTTAATAATAGGTTTTGTTAGGGTACTCGCAGACAGGATTTTCTCCATATATTCAACATTTTTGGATACTCAGTATCTTTTCTTTATAATAAAATATTTCACGAGCGAGCGAGAGCATTTTTCGTCATTAGTTTAAAGCTTTGTGATAGCCTTAAAATATCACAAATATCATAAAAAACGTGAACTTTTTCAAAATATAAAAAAATATTTTATGAAAAAATACTATCACATAAAAAAACACGCTCTAAAGGTGCGTCTTAATTTAAGATTGACAGCTTACACAATAATTGCCTAACTTTTTTTAACATAATTTTCATTTAGGTTCTTCATTGAATCACGTGGCAACCGTGAAGTGCAAGGAACAAAAGGTTACACCAACATTTTTTTTCCATAAAGCCATGGAAAGGAGTTTGAGGTAGAGAAGGAATCAAAAACGCAAAGATTGTGAGTCTAGGTTTACTTTTGTTGGCGTCCTATAGGGGTGGCAGTGGATCCGACAAAGCCTGAGATGTGACAGGTAGACTGACCTTTGGGTCACGGTATAGTTCAAATTTTGAACCCAAAAGGTTAGGTCTAAGTTCAAAATTTAGATCCAAATACTATTCAGATTTGTATCTGGATAAAGAATTAAAACATTCAAAGGCAAATGAAATAGGAAAATATTTCGTACTAGATGCCAGTATGGAATAGGGTATTTATATCCAATATATGTCGCTTATATATATATATATATATATATATATATGGAAGAGTGCGGTTTGTATAGAGCCTAGGCTCTAAACAATCAAATTAGAACCTACTTTCAAATATTATCGAGAAATGTAGGTTTTAATATTGCAAATCTTTGTGATAGCCTTAAAATATATTTTCATCTTTATATATAAAGTTTAAAGCTTCAAAAATAATATATATCGACATATCTATTAAAACTTGAAAATCTTGAAAATTGACGGTCCAAAAAAGCGTTACAAAATACACTATTTTCAAAACTAAAAATCTATTTTTTCTCATGTCCATACATCTTGACGCTAAGAAGATCAATTGGAGGATATTTGGGCATCAAAACAACCTCTTCTAGTAAAATTTTTGTGGTAGGCTTCAATTTGATTGTTTAAAACGTCAGCGCTATATAAAACTTTTCCTATATGAAATGGCTTATATATCTACTAAATTGTGTTGTTCGGATATCCCCCCCTCATGGACAATGAATGCTGAGAAACGACTCTCTAATCCCATTAAGACGATGAGGGTTCCTGAGAAATCTCTCAATGCGGGAGAGATTTTTGTCGGCCAAGCGGCTTTTTCATGTGTCTCATGCAAACCAGCACTCAATGAAGCACAAACCATGTTTGCAAAATTGGGCGGTTCAAATCGGAATCGATCATTGGCCGGTTTCGATTTTGGGATCCAGTTACGTATTTTTAAAAAATTTTAAAATAAATTATATATAATTCACAAATATGGAATTTTTTTGCAATGTGTTTTTTAATGGTGTTCATCATTTTGGGAAAGAGTGGAAAGTGCTTTTGCTGTTAATACTTATTTTTACATTTTTCTATCTTTTTAAAAATTTTCAAAAATACCTTTGAACACAAATCAATTTTTTAAAATCCATTTTTTCACTAATTTTTAACTTCATTGGATGTGCTATGTTAAATCATACGTTTTATATATATATATATATATTAAGATTTTTAAATTTTTAACACTTTTTTTTATTGCCCTGTTCTTGACCAGTTTCCTAAGCCGGTTCAATTTTTCGAACACACAGCACAAATATTCATGCCACTACACAAACTGCGAGCATGGATAAGTGACTTTATACTTTGCATGATATGAAGCCAATTTCTAAAAAAAATTTCTCTCAAAGAGCCAAACAAACTTGGATTTGGGAAATTTTGGTTAAAAAAAAAAAAGAACTTAGGTTTTTTTATTTTCTATAAGAAATAGAGAAAAAAAGTTAACTTTAATGTTTGTGGACAGGGAGAATTTAAGTTTAATGTTCTCACACAGAGCGTGTTTCAGATTAAGTTTCTCTCTCTCAGTGAGTGAGAGAGACAGAAATATAGCATTTAGCCCATTCAAACAAGATCTGATGGTGGTGCTCAGAGAGAGAGAGAGAGAGAGATATAGAGAGAGAGAGAGAACCGCATATAGTATTGAGGCCATTCAAGCAAGATCTGAAGAAGGTGGTCCCCTCTCCAGCTAAAGCCCGCCATTCTTTGTCATGCCTGCTATCTATACCTGCCTCCTCATCACTACAGAACCACCCATAATTCCCTTGTTCCTCGTCACAAATAAGCTTTTGCTCCAAATGCGAACCTTTCTTCTCTCTCTTATCCACACAATTTTGTGAGCCACAATAATGAGTGTCCATAGATCACAACAAAAATACAATGAAGTGAAGGGAAATGGTGGTCTCTGGTTCTGAGGTGCCCTTATTTATATTCCTATTTCGGATAAAAATACCTATATTGACCTTATGGGTCCAAATTTTCGACCCGAATATTATTCGGGTTTGGGTTCGGGTCTAACGGGACCCAACCCGTACCCGTAGTCATAGAGTATATGATGGCAATAATATGTGTTTAGGCACACATTAATGTTCATATTGTCACAATATTGACAACATTACAGTACTATTAGCAAAAAAAAAAAACTCATAATCATAAGGTATATGATGATAAAAAAAAAAAAGCAAAAAAAAAACCTCATAGTGATAGGGTGGCAATGAATCCGACCCAACCTAGGACCTGGCGGGTCTGGATACAGTTCCAAATTTTAGACCCGCATACTACTTGGGTTTGGGACCAGCCGGACCCGACCGGTTGCCGCCCCTAGGATTTGGTGTTTCTTGCAAGGAAAATGCTTTAAACTCACCATATGAAAAAAAGAAAAAATAAATAAATAAATGGTACCAAATGAAGAAAAGAAAAAGAGACCACGAATTGTCTATTTCAGTCCACATGTTCCATGCGCTGGTGGAAAAGGAAATGTCCTCCGCCGTCCATTAATACCCGTGGATGGACCATTTTGTATTGAGATGAATATGCCATGTAGCTTATGCTTAGGGCGTATATTACTATGCTCCTGCCGGAGCCAAATTTACATTGGTGCCGCGGATAATTGGTTTGCTTAAGAGGATTTTCTTGATCTGGAAATTTGGGATCTAGTTTAAAATTGCCAAATAAATATTTTCATAAAAATCAAAATTTGAGCATCAAAATGCCTAAATCAGACCATTCAAAAAATGGATAGTCTATGTACAATGTCAAAGAAGTCTTTTTTACTTCATGCACTTGGAGGGAGTGTATTGAATTTTCTCTTTATTATTGTCGTTGTTAGGTTGGGCAAGTTATTTCTGAAAATTTTGAGTTGAAACAATTAGGTGACGGGGTAATGTTTTGGTTACCAGGTTGTGTAGATCATGTCCTTAAATTTTTGGGGTCGAAAAAGCACTCCAAACCAGTCGAGGCTCAACCCGACCCAACTAGGTCTAAGCTAGACCGAGACTTGATCCAAACTCGAGTCAAGATGAGTCCGACCGGAGTCTGGGTCAAGATATAAAAAGTAATGATACACTATATATAAAACATTAATATTGAATTATTGCATACAATAGATCTATTAATATATTGGGTTAGGTCATTCCAAACCAAACTGGAATTGACATGTTTTTGTCCATGTCTGACCTATACACCCAGACCCGGCTTGCAAAGTCCATTTAAAGGGTCCAAACCCATTCACAGATAGGGTTGACCCACACGATTAACACCATTAGGTCTAAAAAACACTCGAGTTTCTAGGGTTCATGGCAGAGAGAGCAAATGCACATTATGCTCCACCATGACCACACAGTCTTTTAGTCTAATTATAGTTTTTTTGGGTAGTTCATAAGTAGGACACGTAATCCTGCTAATTGTTATAAGTTGACAAATGGAAAAAGTGTATTTTTTTTTTTTAAGTTGTTCATTTGATAAGGGATCCCCGACCCATAGTGGAAAAAGTGTTCATTTCAAATGTTGAAATGAACATAAACATCGCAATTAGAAGATAAGATATATTGGTTCCTGATTTACGTGGTAGTGATTTATAGTGACAAATCGCTCCAACAATGAAATAGTGCGTGCCCATTTATCCTCTATACTGTATTCCGCATGAACATAATGCTTTCAACGTTCAAACGTGCGGCTGGGCGGGCCCCTTTGTTTCTTCTACACACCCTCTCCATAAATTTGTTTTTTACTTTGGCCTTTGTTTTCATTTTCTTAATTTCCTGTGACACCTCGGGTGGTACCATACTGTAGTAATCAAACCACTCCTCCATATGTGGGGTTTTAGGCGATTCCATGTTGACATCATCTAGCTACCTCTGATAGAATTTATATTAAAAAAAGTGGAGTCGTCGTTATCAGCAAACCCCAAAACTTGGCCTACATTGACGCATGGGACAATTCATTATTACTTTGATTTTGGAGTATTCTCAATTGGCATTTAGTTTAGGTGCCGTAGCTCTTGGGGATTCAAAACCCCGTTCATCTTCTTAAAAAAACAACGAGCCAATCACAACCGTTGGTTGACGAAAATCTTATAGGTGAGCCGGCAGACCAAATCCTTTCCATGTCGGACCAATCTTATAGGTGAGCTGGCATATCAAATCGCTTTCTACCGTCACAATGAGAGTATTTTATCTTAGTGTTTAACATTTTATAATTGTATCCAATAGATTTAGATATTTATATACTTTTGTTTATATACTAAATATTTTTTGAATAAAAGTATTTTTAGTTATTAAAGTAGATGTGACATCATCTATATATAAAATGTGATATCACCTATATAGAGCACACTAATAACATTTAATGCTCTATATGGGTGATGAGGTGTAACATGTAATGCTCCATATAGGTGATGCCATACCTC